AGAAAAAAAAAATATATATATATATATATTATGAAACGAGGAGAAGAAAACTTTTGGGACGAGGAAGTAAATTAACGGGATCAAAAGAAACGGGCATTACTCTTCCGCCAATCCAATAAATTCGGTAATCCGGTAAAACTGTCGAAACGGTCGTAAATCTGGCCGCAAAGCAGCACGGTCAATTATATTAAATACAAGGGGCACGCTTGTTTTGGAGAGTGTGTGTAACCGCAAGCAGAAGCAGAGGTTCACGGTTTCAGGTTCTAGGTCAGGCTACGTCGTGGCCGGGGCACGTAACAGCGGCAAGAACAGGGGGCCCAAGTAAAACGGTGGGAGCGCAAGAGGCGCGTTTAATGGTCGTGCGCCGCCACGGCTGTTATTATCATCCATTTCTGCATTCTATCGGCGATCACGCACCATCACGAGCCGAGTCCATGATTCGTTCGTTCGCTCTCATCTCCAACAACCGAGTGGGAATGGAATGGAAAGAAAGAATGGAAAGAGGTCCTCCCGATCACCATACCGGATGATTTAGGGAACGCGTTAGGATTACGTGTCTCGAGCGACGCGAGTTTCGCCGTTTCCTACGGCGATCCATGCAATCGCGTTACATCCCAAGGATACGGTCTAAATATATATACACGCGAGACATCGTGCGCATAACAAGGCGTGGGTACGTAATCGATGAGCATACGCGTCGAAGATATCCTCGATAACCGAAGGCTGAATCGAGTTCTCAATCCTTTTTCCAATCGTTCGAAACGAAATTCGTCGTTTCGTGGAATTGACGCGAAGAAACAACGTCGCGTATTTCGAGTTTCATTGTACAGGGAAAATTTCGAACTATGAGTTATAACTAGCGATATCGATTCGTTGTATATCGGATAGATTTGCGGATAGATTTTTCGTTTGGACACGTGACGATTCGATAAGGAACGTACGTAGAGTAAGTGAGGATCACTGTTGACCAAATGATCTCAGACTGGGAGAAGACTGCCGCCCGGATGCTAACTGAATTATAGCTCTGAACGGTGAATCGGAAAAAAGTGTGCAAGGCCGTTCGACCCTTTCGTAGTACAAAGTCGCTTGACCACTTTGCGCGGATTTAATTGGATTCTTTAGAAAACGGACGGAATCGTGGATATAAATCCTATAAATAATCGAGGGATTCATATTCCCTGCGCGTGGTGTAACCTGCGCGTCGTGCTCGTGTAAATCGTGCGGGAAGATCGGGAAATAAATGAACGGGAGCAAAATGTTGTCAAAGAAATTGCATCACTCGGGGACATGGAGAATCGACACGGGGAGAATATTCCCGAAGATTTTTCGACGACAAGATTCAACACGAGATGTTATGATATAGATAGAGGCAGAAAGTGATGAGGATCACTGTCCTAGAAATGGAATATCGAAATGGAAGAATCGACGGCGTGGAAGGCTCGGGGAGGAAGGAGGGGACAATATGGCTCCTTCGATCGTCTCGAACGTGGAGGCTATTCGCGGGCTAAAACGGAGAGTTCGTTCCATGGTCCGTGGAACGAATGAACGAAAGAGAAAGAGAACCTCGGGTGAAAAGGGACGGGGGTTAAGCGGCGAAGAAGAGAGGAGCGCTCCTTAGGGAGTGGAGAGAGAGAGAGAGAGAGAGATAGAAGAAGAAGAGGGGGCCTTACATAGCGATTGCTGGCAGGGCTTGAAATAGACCTCGAGAATCCCCCTGTAGCATCCTCGCCTCTCTTTCTTCGCCTCCTCCACCATCACTATCCTCCTTCTCCTCCTCCTCTTTCCACTCCTTCTCTTCTACTTCTTCTTCTTCTTCTTCTTCTTCTTCTTCTTCGTCTTCTTCTTCGTCTTCTTCTTCTTCTTCTTCTGCTTCTTCGTCCAACAGCAAGCATTGCCTCCAGCTCTCGAGAGCCTTCCTTTTCTTTGCTTTTGTTTTTCGCAAAAAAGGACCAAGTGGCTCGGCTCGGCTCGGTGAGAAGTTGTTCCTAGCGTCTCGTTCACGCAGATAGGGCCAACGCGAAGGAGGGACGGAGAAGAAGACGAAGAAGGTGGTGGAGGATCGGTTGTTTATCCAGGATCGAGCTTCTGCTTTCGTTTCACCCGCCGATATATGGCCACGAACGGAGAGAGAGAGAGAGAGAGAGACCCCCGTAGGCATTGCCGGACCTAAGTGCACTCTCGGCTTGCATTCCCATGGGAATACGCCGTTCAGAGAATCCGACCTGTTAAACTGACCTGCGCCAATGTACCAGCAAAACGTGACCCACGCAACCAAGCTACGAGCAGGCCTCCAACATACTAGAGAGATTCTTCAATGCACCGCCTGTTTTTATCCCGTGGCCAGCCACCCTTTTCTTTCTCCTTTTTCCAAATCCCGCGAAACAGATAAGTCCATCTCGCCCGTTAACGAACCACCACCTTGTCGTGATGAAATTCGAAACTCGTGCGCTTTGAAGAAACGGAAAATTGTCGCGCGAGAGATTCGACGATCAGATATATTGCGATATAAATTCGTTGAACGAGAAAATTCTTCCTCGCCCATTCCCGCGAATTCTACAAAGCGAAAATTGTCACAAATGTGGGGGAAAAAAAAAAAATACTTTGTGGCAAAGTTGGTGAATTGAGAGGAATTTACGAGACTCTTTTGCGTAACAAAAGGTTTAAAGTAACGAGGCTCGGTATCGTAAAGTAATTTAAAGGCCAAAGGGACGAGTGTAGTAGTAATTAGAGAGGAGCTCACGCTAATAAACTTAAGATGGATATTTTTAGGAGGTGGTGTAAATTTAACTGCGCTCTCGCAGTTAATTACTCATTTCTATATACGATCGAGAGCCGGCATTGGCCTTCCTCGTGATAAACCACGCCACGATATTCCTCTTCGAGCTACCTGATCGCGGGCAAGCTTTAAATAGATCGTATTAATATATCGGCTCGTTATAAACGTAGTGAATTCGTTTAGCGTGGCAGATCGTGGCGCTTTCGCGCGAGCCGAGAAGGAGACGAGAGAAGAGGAACGGCGATCGAAAGGGACGCGGTAGGTCTCGGATGTCACGCGAGTCCCTTTTTGTTGGACTGGTCGCACACCGCGTAACAGAAATAACACGTCGCCATATAATGAACACCGATCCGCCAATGGTTACGGGATATCGAATCGATCGGACACGGCCCGGACAAAGAACGGCTAGTGGAAAAGAAAAGAGTAGAGAAGAAGAAGAAGAAGAAGAAGAAGAAGAAGAAGAAGATGAAGATGAAGAAGAAGAAGAAGAAGAAGAAGAAGATTCCTTTACTGGACTTTATTTCGCGTTGGATTCTTCTTCTGATACCGGTTGCGTATCGTAATCGAAGTAACTGGGCCTGGACGATAACCACGTATTCCGCAGAAGCAGGTGATCTCCTCGCGCGAGAGGAGAGGACAGGAGACGAGGAGTTCAGAAATCAAGCCTACCTTGAGAGACGAATCTTTTTGCCGCGCCGCTGACAAGACACGATCCCCGGCCAATATATACGAGAAATCTCTTGCAGAGATATCGCCCTCTCCCCGTTTCAAAGAGTTAATATCCGTTCGACGCATTAAGACGAGGCTGCCGAGATTCTCATAAGGATCTCGAACGTTCCGTTCCTATCTATCCCTCGGTCGGGTCGCGGTGTATCTCGTAATAGGCTCTCCATGACGCGTCGATCGAGGTAATTAAGGTGGCGTACAACGTTCCGCGAAACATGTGGACGCTTTTAAAATGATATCCTCCTCTATTTCTCGTGACCGTAGGTGCGCATTAAACTCGGTTAAAAATAGAACCGGAGCGTATTCGAAAGCGTATTGTGAAGCGATTACGAGTTTTTTCGTTACGATACGAGGAGATACCTCCTCCTCCCTCCTCCCTTAATGGGGGCCGGTCAATGTCGGTGCAGAAAAAACTAAGCGCGGAAAGAGCGAGGAATATAAGAATAGACGGCGCCAAAGGCTTAACAAGGAAACCGGTTCAAAACCTTCTTTTGCGCTTGTGTACCGACTTTCATGAGAGATTCCACTTCGACCACCGTGTGTGCAATATTATTGGACGTGCGTATGATTCCCGTAATACCTTCAACTCGCAACCGTGCTTTCCCTTCGTCCAGCAATTAGCTATTTCTACGTCACGAGAGGACGTATTCGCAAGTTGGAACGTACGTTGAATCTTGACCTCTTCCTCGGAGAAGCAGCAGGAGGAGGAGAAGGAGGAGGAGAGTCGAGAGAGAGAGAGAGAGAGAGAGAGAGAGAAATTCGACGAAGAAGGAGCGTTATGCATTTCGAAGTAGGAAACGTTCGGGGCCGATTTGAACGGCGTCCCTCAAAGCCGCAATTTACGTCCACAAGATACGATCGAATATCGTTAATGCATCCGAATAGAAAATGGTGATTTTAAGGGATGGTATGCGGCGCGTTCTCGCAGCCACGCTCAGAAATGAAGTCTACCTTGAGGTCGGTGTGTTTTTTTGCGCCTACCCGTCGATACAATTCCATTCAGGACGATGAAGACCGTGAAAAGACACCAAAGAGAAATTCCATCCATTGCGACCGTCGTCGGTTTGTAAAACAAACTAAACGATGGAACAACGTTATTAATAGCGTGTACCGCCACTCCAAATAGATCGGAGAGCCGAGCTCGGCGACAAACCATCCTCCCGCTCCTCCCTGCTTTCACGCTTCGTTCTCCGTTTCCAATAATTCTCAAATCCAATTCCATGATTCTCGCTCCGATCTTAATCCAATCTTGTTCCAATCTTATTCCAATCTCTTCTGCTTCGTTACTTACGAATACTTTCGCGCGGAAGAAGAAAAAAGTAAAAGGAAAGAAGAAAGAAGAAAAAGAAAAATTTTTATTATCCGCGTTTGCTCGATTCTCGTTAAAACGAAGCATCCGGTTCGCCAAGTCAGCCGAGAATCTCTCTCTGCTCGATAAGGAAAAAGGAAGATGGGAAGAGAGAGAGAAAGAGAGAGAGGGAGAGAGCGCACGCTCGCAAGAGCACGGTGAAAAGTTGGCCGAGAGAGTAAAGTTCGCGAGGGGAAGGAAGGAAGGAAGGAGAGTACGGGCGCGAGAAGCCGTGTCAACGAACGCACCGCATCATCCTCTCTAACCCTCCGGCAGCGCGAGCCTCTATTGTGGCTAGTTTTTTCTCTGACCTTGTCACCTTGCAGGTTTTTTGCCGCGGCCAAGTCGATTACATTTCGGATCGGTATCCCCCGTCCACGTCTCGCGCTGTCCCGCTCTCCCGTCCCGCGCCCGTCCCTTCGTGGGCTCTCTTCTCCGCTCGTCCTGCTCTAGGTTAGTCAGTGAATCATCTTCAACGACCCCCTCCTCTGGGATCCGGGCAGAAGACTCTTAAGGGGGCCCACAGCGCAGCGCGAGGCCAGTCCGAGAACGCGACCCTAACACTAACATCCGGTGTATTCCGAGAGTCGGAAACGGAAACGGCTGCTTGATCGATTAATCGACACACGCCACCATGAAGATCGCTCTACTGCTGCTGCTGCTCGTCGCGGCCTTCGCCTCAGGTTCGTAACTTTCGATCTTATCCCCTTTTATCTCTCCACAAATTTATCTCTCCTATTGTCTCGTGAAAAATTCCCATTTTCCAAACGCGTGCGAAATATCCGCACCTGTTGCGGATTTACACGGTTAGAGTACACGGTGTATTGGCATCGAGTCTAGTTCTAAGCCGTCGTATTATGCTTTTTTTTTTTTTTTGGATTTAGAATTAGATCGTTCTCTCGCATCTTCTCTCTCGATGATTGATTCGACGAGGACGATTGGTTGGAGCAGTGCCAAGCGAGAATTTTTTTTCTTTCTCCTTTTTTTTCGAGAAATTCGCGTTCACTCGTTCCTCGACGAGCGTTCTTTGTTCGTCGACGCTTCGTCCTCGCATTCTCGTTTCCTTGGTGGAAACGTCGACTACGACGTCCGGTGCATTGAAAAGGGAACTCGCGGTCGTTGATCACGCACGCCTCACTTCAAGATCGTTCGCCCGTCATTCTCGATCGTTTCTCCTTCGGTTATCTACTCGCGCTTCTCTCGCGTTTATATAAAACTGCGCATATAGATATATCCATATTTTGATGAAAAATAGAATCGTTCGATTTTTCGTCACGTTTTTCGAATATTTCGTTTCACCATTCGAACGGCGTCGAAATTTTTATTCGAGAAATTTTTATACGGCCAATACGAACTGCCATCGTTCAGCTGCTCGCCATCGTTGCCACGTTAATTACGATGCAAGTGGCGTAATTCGTGAATGGAATCGCGCCTCGTAGCAAGCGTCTTCTTTCTACAGAACGTTGGCGGCAGACGTCTCAAGGTCTTCAGGTCGTTTACCACCACCTGCGCCGCCGGCTTCACAAACCGGAGCATTTTTACGCACCCTTTGAATCTCTCGTGCGTCAAACCACTTCGAATTATCTGTCTACGCTTTCCGTTCGACGTTCTTCTTCCATTTGAAAATTTATTTATTTTTTTCTCTTTGCTTCACTTTATTTAAAATCATATTTATTGGAGAATTGGAGATTCATGAAACGATAGGTAAAATCAACGGATTGAAATATTAATCTGATTTCAATGCCATTCTTTTTCAAAATACTCGAAACGAAATTTCTCGACTTTTCGCAAATAAAACGATCACTCGTGTCGGGACTATTCGGAAGCCTAAACCGGTCACAACTTTAAAAGTACAGTTAACCAAATAATCGTAAAAAGTCAATGAACTCGCACGGTGAGCATCGTGCGAAACGGCACTTCCAACAAAGTACAGAGTCACTCTGTGAAGTTAATTAAAACGAACGGTACCGATGATGCGTAAGTACTTTACACGTTCATAGATGAATTGAAATTAATCGCGTTGGGAAACGATTTACTACGGCTGTCAATTAATCCGAACACAATCGAGCGTTGATTCCAATATAACAGCTCCGATCTTGTCTTTTATTATCGCGATTATTGTTGCTTTATGAAACTTAATTAAGAGGAAAGGGGAAAAAAGGAAGCAATGGAATACAATGCAAAATTGGTAGATCCAACAATGATCGCGTACCGGATTTCGTTCAAAATCATTGAAAAGTCATAGAATTGCAATGCGAACGATATGCATTTTCCTTCCGTTTGCATCTACGAATTAACGAATACTGAAATATTCAGACGTAACGGTCTGCCCGCGATGATGCTAAACTGGGACATCGGGTAGATTAGAATTCACGGGATGATTTTTCCCGCGTCCTGAGGCTGCCATTTGTGGTCTGGTCGGAAGTCAATGGCGGAGACGTGCCTCGATGAGATAATACGAGAGCAAGAAAAGGGAATTCCTTTTTTATTCATCGATTTACGCTGTCGATGATGTGTAACTTTCTAGCATTTAAATTGATGGGAGATATGGTGATTAAAGAAAAAAAAAAAAAATAGGATGGAATATATGAATACTTAACTTCGAATTTATTCAATAAATTCATTCCACTGGTCTATTTCATCTTGTTAACGCATAAAAAATGGAGACGGTTCGTTTACAGATGGATCAATTAAACCTTTTGTTACTTTTATGATTTAAAATTCTTTAAAACCAGATAAAAATAATATTTTTTTTTTCTCAAAGCAATATTTTTACTATTGCTTTGTTAAACTTTTGTTTTTTTTGAAAGAATATTTGCACTCTCAATTCAAGAATTCAATTCAATTTTTCCGAATCTTAAAAATCAAATTGGATTCGACGAGTAATCGTGAATGAAATAAAATTGATTTACAGGCCAAAGGATCACGACGATTCAGTTGGATGGGGTGCAATACTTCGTTTCAAGGATGAATCCCTACAGTCCCGAATTGAACTATTTCCTGGCATACCAATATTGTCGTTCATTGGGTCTTCAGTTGGCCTCTTTCGAGACAAAGGAAAAAGCCGACACGATGACGCAGTACTTGAAAAACGCCGGCTACGTTAAATACGACTTCTGGACATCCGGCAACAAGTTGGGCACGGACATGTTCCTGTGGATGAGCACAGGTCTTCCCTTCAATGCCACCTTCGACTACATGTTGAGGCGACCTGGCAACAGACCTGCTGACGTCCCACCCGGCACTGAGCCTCAACGAGTGGCACGCGAAAGGTAACAATTAATACGCTCTTATTAATTACTTCACAACACAATCCCCCTATAATTGTAAACTGTATCATATTAGGTTATCTATACTTTTATGACTTTCTTTTTCGGAACAATTAATTAAATATTTACAAATTTTCAATTTTATCGAAACTTTCACTATTTCGTCGCATTTTCGAAATACTGCTAACAATTCAAACAATCAATTTCTGGGATGGAAATTCATCAAAATTATCCAATACAATGAATTTCTACTCTTTTCTACTCTCGAATAGCCACGTGCGATTGAAAAAGAAAAGAATTTTCTCCCGTGTCCCTTCCTTTCCTTTCCTTCGTTGAAAAAGAAAAAAATCAAAACCGGAAATCACATAGAGAGAAAAGACGCGAAGAGAAGGGGGAAAGGAAGGGAGAAACGTCACGTATTTGTCTATCTGGAAGTCTATCTAGAAGACAAGGTAGAGAAGTATAGCGAACCTTCTTCGTCGAACGAGGGCCAAGATCAATTCGTGGTCACGAATACGATATAATCGCCGGCATCCCTTCCGCATCCGTGCATCCCTACCCGGAAACGCGTGCATCGAATCGATAAACGAGCGGCGAATGATTGAAATTCTAATCCCGGAATTTTTCCACAAGCGGTGACAGCGGCAGCGCGGACGGATGCGTGGCCATGGTGGCGCCCACGTTGGCCTGGGAGGCGCAAGATTGTACCCTGGTTAAGGACTTCATCTGCGAGCAAACAAGATGCTACTACTACAACTACGGAAGCATTCCAGTCTCTGCGACTCAGGGGTAAGAGGTGAGATAATACTTGTTACAAAAAAATACACGAAACCGCCGAGAAAAAGGGAGAAAGAAATAAAGAGAGAGAGAGAGAGAGGAAATGAGATAAGCAAGATGGCGCACGGACAAAAAAATAGAAACAGAATGGTCGATAAGATATATAATCCGCGATTATTAATACAGATATAGCGATATTTCGATCGAGTGCAAATGATATCTCCGTCAATCGTGTAAATTTATCGATTCGAACGCGCGTTGTTAATTGCGAATAAGACTTCTTTGTCTCGTATATCGATTAAATGGATTTGTCGAAAGAAAGATCCATCGAGTTGCCGAGGATGGATCAACGCGTTGGATCAAATTTTTTTCTCCGTGCAGTTTACACGATAAACAAACCGATATAAATAACGCTTCGCTGAATAACTTAATCCGTATATAAGCGAGTATAAGATAATTGGTAGTTGGGGAAATCTTTTGCTGTGGTACGGACGTAAACGCTTATTGCTCGTTTCACACGAGAACACGGCTTGCAATTATTATTAACGCATTCTCTCGCTCCTCGCAAATATCACACACAACGCACACTACACACACACCAATGCATCGATGTGAAAAAGCGTGGACACTACTGGTCAACGCAAGGTTTCCAATTACTTTTCCAAAATCGAGCGTCGCTTATATAACCTCTCTGAGCCGAGTTAGCCGAGCTGCCAGAGACTTTTTCAACGTCTCTGCTTTCGATATTAAAGCCGACCAACATCGCCAATCCACATCTTGTAGGAAATTCTCCACTCCGAATCTCTTTAATCCTATTCGCTTCGTCCCCGAAAAGAACGAATCTCTCTCTCCCCCTGAAACGAGTGCGCGATTTGCAGAAATCGCAGACCCTATATAACAACGACCTCGGCGCCAGCCAGCGACGACCAGGTCGACGAGCACGAGGAAGGCAAGAACGACGAGCAAAATCCGAGTAGCCAGGTCGACGAGAAATCAACAGCGGAAGAGGAGGAGGAGGAGGAGGAGGAGAGCTCCGTCGAAGAGAAATCACGCGAAGATCCGGTCGTCAGCAGGCTGATTACCACGGCCGTTCCCGCGTCTGACAAGCAGCAATCCGCGTTAACACCGTCCACGTCCCCGCCGGTCGTCACCGAGGAGCAGCAACCGACCGACGCCGATCTGCCGGCGGACAACGCGAGGCCCGAGCATCTTCTCGACATCACGAGCCTGTTCACCGACTCGCCGGGCCCCCAGGCAAGAAAGGACAACGTGTTCGAGGGGCTGCAAACCCGCGAGGTTCATCGCTCCTCTCTGCGCTCGGCCTCGAACATGAAGGCCGAGCACCGAGAGTCGCCGGACTACTTCGAGGTGCGCGGCGAGACCGAGGCGCCCAACAACGGTTTGGAAGACGCTCACACGGTCGGCCCATACGACAGCGTCCAAGATTACTACGTGAACGACCAGCCGGAGGCGGGCGAGTCGTCGATGATGAAAGATCAGGACGACGACAGCAGCACGATCCTGCCAGAAGCGGAACCGGCCTACAGGTACAACATCAAAGTGCGCACCAACGGCAAAGTATTAGACCCTCCGTCCAAGTAACGCTTTACTTTAATTTAGGCAATCGTCACGATGATTCTATTCGTTGATAAGTGAAGAATAAGGGAGATCATTGAGGAACTAGATGTATTAATGTACGTTATTTTATGTGTATATCGCGGACGAATGAGACAATCGCGCGCCCCCCTCCCCCATCCCCAATGGATGATTGGGCGGGGAGGGGGAGGGGGGGAGCTCCGTTCGTCGCCATCCATCGCTCATCCATTTCTGTTCTGATTTCGAAAACGAATTCCCGGTAATGCTCGTCGGATCATTTTCACGCCGTTCATCATCCTCGTCGGGGCTTTTCCTTCGGTCGGAAGGACAGTCTCCACGTTTCTTATAATTTCGTTTTTCGGGGGTAAAGGGGGGGGGGATACTTTTGTTATTCGAAACGAATAACGATCGGAACGATCGCTGTTACTTTTTCTCGAAAGGAATAGAATTTTTGAATGGAAAACGGAGGATTCCTTTCCTTCTGGCCTTCCGATCCCCGACGAAACCAACCGACGTCGTTCTCGCAAGGGCATTCACTCCACCGTTCGATTCGATCTTTTTAATCGTCCACGAGAGTGGCACGTGGCGGACACGTATCGATTCTCCTCCCATCTCTCTGCTACCTTTTCTTCCTTTATTATCGAACCATCCGTATCGTTTCATATCGATATCGATCTCGCCGTCGTAGATGATGGCGGATGGATAGTAGTAACGGGAACGCGAGGAGGGATCTCAGGCATTTAAGCTATAGTAAGGGAGGTTGAACGGACGGTGAGGATGTATCATCGTTGTTCTTCTCGAGGATAATCGAAGAATCGTCATCATTGGTGTAGGGTTGGGAGTCCGCCAGTGTCGCAATAATAATTTCATTCGTGAATCGGTGAATAATCATCTTCTAGTTAATATCATGTATTCGTACGTCCGCAAGATGAAACGTTTCGTATTCGATTCGAATTCCAAGTCGAACGTGCATGCCTCCTCTTCGTGTCGTTGAATCGTCGAAACGAAGGAATCGATACGGGACGAAGATTGGTCAGATTCGAGGAATGAAGAAAAGGGGATTGATTAAACTCGAGGAGAGTACGAGTGCGTTACGAGTCGCGTAAACGTTTCGGTCATCCGGACGTACGAGGATCGGCAATATCGCGTAGATCAACGTCGCGAGATGATTTTCCAACTGTTACGGTAGGTATCATCGACGCATGGATCTTGAATATCATTGCGTAAAAATACGGCGCGAATGTTCAACTTGTGTAATTGATTATCAATAAAGGTACGAAACACAATTCTCACGGTGGTCCAGTTTCATTCTCTCATCCCCTTTAACGTACCATTTTTAGATATAATACCACTTACCAACCGTTCACCACACCCTCGATGTTCAACATCGGCACGATCTTGAATACGTAATCGTCGCGCAAGCCCATCGCGTAAGGATTGTTACCGAGCAACGCCTCCAATGTACCGTCCATCACCCACGATGCGTTGCTCTCACCCGGATGAACCCTCGACGTTAGAAATATCACCTTGCGATTCTGGAAAAGGAAAAACCAGGGAGAAGTTCGAGCTCGAGTTATTCCAGAGAGAGAGAGAGAAAGAGAGAAAGAGAAAGAGCGAAGGAGAACGTTTCTATAACTTTTCAAACATCCTCTTATCATTCCCCTTATCCTCTCCTCACCTGTATGGGATTGCTCTTAGAATCGAGAGACGTGATAGTGAGCAGAGGATTGTCGTTGCCGTTCAACGTCTCGCAAAGGGTCTCCGCTCTGAAATACGTGTTAGGTGGCACCCTCTTGGTCCACTTCCAGATATTGGTCATCAACAGGCTGTACGTGTAAGGGAAATGGTAGGCCAGGTAACAGACGTCGTAGGCGTGCGGGAAAGTGACGGTGAACGAGGTGGTGAGATAATTCTTCCCCTTGGCGGGCCGTTGATAGCAGTTTCGATAGTAGCAGATGTCCGCCCCCGTCCTCACCCAGCCGGGCCTGCCCAGCTGGGCCTCCGTCACGCTGAACAGGATCGGTTTCATGCCGAAATTGAACTGCGAATTCGCTTTCTCGCAGTTGATAATGTTAAACGTATACGCCAATGCCTCCATGTTCGACACCTCGAAATAGAACCATTGATGCCTGGAGCCGCTGTTCACGTCCGGCGTCAAGATCAGATCGTACTCTCTCACGCCTATCTGTAAGGAAGCGAATTGGAAAGAAACGATGCAGATTTGCCGCGGGAAACGGGAAGCGCGCATCCATTGTTTGGTAATTCGCAACAACAACGACGACTTTTCTTTTCTTTTTTTTTTTCTTATACAAATAAAATTGATTTGAAATATTCATAGGATATTTTGTACCTGAATAACTTTTCTCAGGTTCCCGCTCTCGAATCTCGACTCGAAGTGCAAGTGTTTGTTGTCGAAGGAACGCTTGCCTATTCTGTTCTCGTCCCAGTTGCACAAATGATTGTCGATCAGTTTTTGCTCGTCCGTGGACGCGTTGCTGGACGAGGTGGTTATGGCGTCGAGATCGTACACCACTTCCGGCGCCAACAAGCTACCGTGAAGACCACGTTCCACGCAGGTGAGAAGTTTCGAACGACACACCCTTCTGTCCTTGCTGTTCAACGGCTCGTCCTTGCCGAGGCCGTCGCCACCGATCAGATCCGGGTAAGCCACCTTCACGAAACCGATCACGCTCTTCACCCTGCTCGCTATCACGCAATAAGCCTGTTGATCCGTCAAAATCGAGGGCATGTCTTTGAATATTTTGATCGCCGCCTCGCCATTCGACATTTGGCTCGTCTTCGATACCCCTTCTTTCAACAAATCCTTTATCTTTGTCCTGCTACACCCTCTCGTGTCGATCGTATCCACGATCTTCTCCGTCGACAACTTTGCGCCGCATGCTTGATAATGCCCAAGGTTGTCCAATTCTTTGAAAAAAACGTTGTATCTGGAGGCGAATCGAGGGACATTGGTTGATTAATCGATCGATTAATTAGGGGAAAGTTTAAGAAAAAAAAAAAAAAAAAAAGAATTCGAAACGAGGTGTTGGAAAATATATACGTATCGACGTACTCGGCCAGCTCCTCCTCCGACCTTTGCGACGTGAACACACCGGCAAAGAACTTGCTCTCGTCCACTTCGTCGGTCGTGTTCATGGTTTTCGCGTTCGTCCTTGAATGCTGGCTTTCTTCTTCGTCGCCCGAATCAAGATCGCTGTACATTCGTCCAAGAGAGGCGACGCTGCAGGGCTGCGATAAAAAATACGTGATAATTTTTGCGAAAATTACGCGCGTTCCTTCTCGAATTAATCGTTCGATCGTTTTTTTAACCGATATTTCTTTAACCGATTCGAGAAAGTTTTCGAAAAAAAAAAAAAAAAGATATCGATCTTGTTGCATCACGTTCTGACCCGAGAAAAAATATACACACCTGACTGTCGATGTCGCTACCGCTCTCAACGCTGTTAGGCCTGTTCGTTTCGTTCGGCAGCACGAATCTGTGGCAGAGTTCGAATCAAATTCACACGCTCGTTCGTTGTAACTTTATTTACAATTTTTCGAATCGGATATCTCGTTTAAGAATCGCGAATAATCATCGTGTGAAAACGCGAGTTTTTTTTGGATCTGAAGTCTTTTTTTCCTTTTTTTTTTTCCTTTCCTAATAATTCGAGAGAATTTGAACCCAGATCGATGATAAACTACCGAGTGCGATAAACCCGAATCGAGCTTCGATCTGGCGTTGATGAATTTCGAACGACCTTGAATGTTTCGTTCACCTTGCCGGAGACATTTCGGGCACAGGCAGCTCCTTCTTCTCCAGACATTGATTGATTATCCCGCAAATACGCGACAGCAACGAATCGTATGACTTATCCTCCGGGCAATTGTTGCAGAACCGGTACAGTAGTTGCAAACCATTGTTCAACTTGATAGCCTTCCTGCCGGCCTCTGAAAAGGACAAAAAGATGGCTCAGCGTCGTAATGGCGACGTAAAACCACCGCCAATGCGTGCTATATAACGCGGACATAAATTTACATACGCGATGTTTGTTCTACAAGGAAATGTGGTTACGAGAAGAAGTGGAAGAAGGAGTAATTTGTCGTAGAAATTCTAATTAAACGACGATCGATCGTTTGAAGAAAATAATAATAATAATAATAATAATAATTAATCGAGGCTAATCGAAGAAATGCGGAGGAAAAAATTAATTATTTTTCTTTCTTCACAAGCAGGAATAAATTAACAAGGAAAGAGAGAATGGAAGATGAATTTAAAATCATTGGTGTAAAGCTGTTCTACACCCTACAGTATCAACTTCCGGCCGGTTATTATCGTTATTATAGCAACGTTTAAAGGTTGCGGCACGAATAAACTCACTTATGACGCATAAGTGCTGTAACGTGATCAAAGTGGAATTGCAAATCTTCAGTCTCATCGGCCCGTCGAATCGATCCCATCTCTCGAAGATCCTCATCAACAGATGCACCAGGCCCACCTTCACGAATTTCATGCAACAAACTTCTACGAGCAAAAAGAGTAAGTTTTGTATTATACCGAGTTGATACAAATCGTTCAAATGCCACGTTTCAAATCACGCGAAAGAATTCGATTCGTTACACAAGATTTTGGGCAATTGTTGAAACGATAAACGAGAATAGTTTACGTACTGCTCGCTGTGAAATATTTGAAACACTCTAACAACGATTTGAGTTTCAGGTGAGGCATGTAACCGATACCGACGAATGTTTTCTCCAACGTGGAAGCGATACCGTCCTTCATCAATACTTGAAGCGAGAATGCTGAAAACGCCAAGAAAAAAAGAAGAAGAAGATGATGATTTAAATAGATATGACACGAAAATACCGTAAATTCTTTTGAAATCAAAAGTCGAGACTTGTTTACTCACAATTTCTGGCGAGACTTTTGATGATCAACAACAAAGGCAACAACGTTTTGCTATTATTGTAATGTTGCTTCAAGAGCGTGTGGAACACTTTAATGGTATTAAGCATCTTTATTTTTAACACGAACTTCTGGTCCCTTTGGGCTATCTGCAAATTTTATCAATCAAGTTCGAACAGTTGGACGAGATTAAAAGTTATGTCGGTTTTTGTCTCCGTCTCCGAGGATAAATAATTGCAATTGGTTCGTCATCGTATAATAATAATAATAATAATAATAATAATAAACGATAAATTTGTTCGAGAATTCTACGTTCGCAAGAATATTTTAACAATGTTCCCATAAATAATATTCTCGTCTAATAATAAACTTTAGAACTCGAAGAATGTAGATTAAGCAATTCTAGCTAGTTAGACGCGAGACAAAACAATTCACAATTATTTTCAGAAGCTTGTATTATATATATATATATGAATTTTTGAAAAATATATAAAAAGTACGATTATTTTGAGAGAAAAAATGGATTGTACCTCAAAGAAAGATACAAAAACGTTTACCATTAATTTTACGATTTTATTTATTCAAAATGATTTAAAAACTGGATGCAAATTATAACGAATCCATTTCCGCAAAACCGACATTACTTTTCCAATGCGATAAAAGGACAACGATGTCTCACCTGACCCAAAAGCCAAAGCACCTCTCGCGTGAGGGCTTCGCTCGAAATACTGTCCGTGTGTTGCAGATTAACTAAAAGTTTAATTAGAGCTTGCGTGATTCCTAAATTGATCAGCTGCATCACTGCCATTCGGCTGCTGGATACTGAAAAACGACAATTATCGTACGCTTTCGTCAAAGAATTATGTAACGATAAAAAGCACAGAGATTTACTTTAATTTAAATTAAATCTTCCTTTAACGACATATGTGATAAATATTTTTCTCACAGACTCAGAGTGGGACAAAAATGAAAAATTACTTGTGGCACTTTTGTTCTTGTTCCCTTTGGTCTTCCCCTTCGCGTTACGGGGTGATATGCACTCGTGTAGTATGCAGGCGATGCTGTAGTTTATCACGTGATCCTTGCAATTCTGGAAACAAAGTTTATGAAATAAATTCGATTTTAACGTGTCTCGAATTATATATAGCGTTAGTCGGCTGGTGTAAACCGAGCTCGAACGATCGAGAGATTTTCGATTCGCGCAAAATGCCACGGAAATAATTATTCTCTGTTCTGCGTGCGTGCAACGCTTAACGGAAAATGGGACGAACGAATTTTGCATGCTTTCCCGTAGACAAGACGTACGATGGGGACCGGAGGCCGGTTGATGCGACCTAGCCACGCCATTCCGTGCAAAATGTTAATCGTGACATGGTTATCCGCATCCTTAATTGGATCCACAATGTGTCGATTAAATGTCCGACCTCCCGGAATACACATTGTTCAGTCACGCCTCTCGAAAATCGCGAGGTATTAAGAGAATCGTTACCACCTCCATCTATCGTTTCAATTTATCTAAAGGATCGAATCCAATTCTTCGATAATTTGTTCTATCGATCGTTCAAACTATCGTACATATATATATATATTTTTGTTTGGCATATTTATTACTTTTATTGGAGAAAGATCAATGAAATAATACGTTACGAAGAAACGAAATATCAAAGTTAGAATCTTAATGGTCACTTTAATGATGATATTAATAAAGTAATAAAGATATTCGATTAACGAGGATTGGCAAAGTTCGTTCCGTACTTTCGTGTCGAGTGTAATAAAATCTTGATTAAAAATTCAACTCACCTCCAATGTCGCGATGAATATTTCCATCGCACCGGAATTCTTGCGCCATAATTTGTCCAGCGTGCGTTCGCGCAATCGTCGATCTGAAGAAATATCGATTATTCCGTTCTTTAATACTTAAATGAATAATGAAATTGTAATTCTAGGAAGCTTCTACGAAGGATAATAAGACGAATGATTTCGTAAAAGGTCATTGGCGAATAATTAATTAGATTCTCGCGTAAATAATGCGAGAACGAACGTGCAACTCGAATTTTAAACGGACGCAGCTTCCTAGTAAGAAAGGCTATACGTCGTTGCCATAATGAGTAATCCGACGAACAGGTGTGGGCAACACCATCTTCCATACGATAACATACTTGGGGCATTGGCAAAATGCGTGGCTTCCATTTCAGAATTGACACAAGGCCAATCGTTCCCAATGCCATGAACACTATCCACAAAAATATGTGATACTATAACATTTTGGCCCAAGACGACAACTTGCGAAACGAATCGACAATGGAACATTTGTGCAATTATTTTTCCCCGCAATCAAAATTTCCCTGCTTGAAATTTATTTTAAATTAATAATCGATATATATATATATATAGTTATTTCGAGTGATTATTACTATAATTAAATAATTATAAATAATAATTATTTTCGAGAGAAATAAATGAATATTTGAAGAAAATAACAAATAATTTATCAGATTGATAAATTATTGACAAATAAAATTACTATTCACTTAATTTATATTGTTTGAAAAGTGTAATGAATCCTGTTCGAAATATCGTAAAAGTATACGTGTAACACGAACATGAGCGTAGCATTCGGAAAGAAAAAAAGGTCATTTGAACGCGAGCCAGCTGAAAGAGTCTCAACTTGCAAGACCAAATACAAGAAATCGAGCTATTCGTAGTATTTACTTTCTTGAGACT